TGTGCCCTTGACCAGAATTGAACCCAAGACCTTTCAGTCTGCAGGTCCCCCCCCCCCCCCCAGGCAGATGTGTGTTCCTGCTGAAGGGGGATCTTTTATGTGCGCCCTGGGAAGATGTCGGTCTGGGCAAGCCGCCAGAACCCCCGGGGTTGGTTGCTGAGAGTAGGGAAGTGAACTTTGTGCGACCAGCCTGAGAACCCACCACGCCTGGCAGCCGAGAGGCAGACCTGCAACTGCTTCCTAGGGGCCTGGGATGGACCTGCAAGTCAAAGGACTCTGGGGCCTACGGGGTTCCAGCCTCTCTCTGAGCCTTGGAGTTGTGTCCCCAGGGCCCGGTGACTCCTCCACAAAATACAGGTCTCACCCCTGGGTTGGGCTGCCACCAGCCTCCCCCATCTCTCCCACTCACTCTCACTACTTGCCAGGTCAGAGGATTCTTTGCACTGAATGCACTCACTCATTCATTCATTCCAAAATATTTATTAAGCGTCTGATCAGGGGCTGGGACTCAAAAGTAAGCCTAATGGGCCACCCCTCCCTGGTAGGGCTGACAGTTGAGTGGAGAACACAGATAACCAATATTGCAAACATTATGTTTAGGAGACATATTGTCCTTTTTAAATAAATATTTTAATATATATTTAATATATATCATCCTTTTTAAATATAATATATATATACATATATGTGTGTGTGTGTATATATATATACATACATATATATATATATGTATATATGTATATATATTTCAGAGGAAGGGAGAGGGAGCGATGGAAACATCAACGATGACAGAATCATTGATCGGTGCCTCCTGCATACCCCCTACTGGAAATCGAGCCTGAAACCTGGGCATGTGCCCTTGACCAGAATTGAACCCAAGACCTTTCAGTCTGCAGGTCAACACTCCACTGAGCCAAACAGGTTAGGGCAACATATTGTCCTTTAGAAGGTGGTAAGTGCTACACAACCTTTCAGAGCCATGAAAGGGGTAAGGAAGGTGAGTGGTGTGATGTCTGCATGAAGACCTGGAGGGAGGGAGGGAGGGAGAGTGTTATATGGACATCTGCAGGAAGAGTGTCTGGCAGATGGAAGAGCCTGTGTAAATGCCCTGAGGTAGTTGTGCCTGCCTGTGTGGGGAGGGATATTGAGGACCTAGGGGATGAGTGTAGATGACACCCAGAGATGGCAGCATGGGGCTAGACTGTGTAGACAGGTATAACACTCTAAGTCAGTTTATAATGCTGTTGCCTAAAACTGCTCCTGACTCCCCAGTGCCTTTGAAAGGAACCCCAGTCTCTCCCACCATCCAGAGCTCTGGGCACACAGGCCTCCCCACACTGAGCCTCCAGTAGGCCCCAGGCCATTACTCTATTGTTCTCCTCCATCGAGGCCACCCCACAGCACTGGTCATGACCTCTCAGCCACCACTTCAAACCCCTCTCAGCAGTTGGGGCAGGTCCAGATCCAAAGCTCTAAAGTCCATAGTTTGGGGACCAGTGAGGGGCCCTGGAGTTGAAGCTTCAAGAGCTGCCTGGAAAGTCCATGTCCACACTCAAGAAATACTGAATGTCTGGTCAGCCATGCATGGCAGGTCTGGGACCCCACACTCACCTCTAGGAAGGGGGGTGGCATGGCTAGACACCATTGTGCAGGACAGAGCCCTGGTGTCCACCCCAAGTGGCAAGTGACCTTAGGCAGAGCATCCCTCCCCAGGGCCTCCGTCCGCACCATGAGTGGGGCCTGCAGTTGTGCTGACTTAGGACTCATCTGGGTCTCCTTTCCCTGCTGAGCTCACTGCCCCCAGAGCCTCTGGTGGGGTCGGGAGGGGTGGGAGGACCAGTGACAGCCCTTTGTTTCAGGTAGAGGGACTCTTAGGGTCATGGCACCAGATGGGGGTTGATGCCGAGGCTCGGGGAGGCCCACAGAGGCCTCCACCACAGTCCGTCCTCACGGTGTCCCAGGGAAGCAGGTGGAACATTTCCAAGCAGCCTGGGGGATGGGCCCTTGTTCATCTGACAGCCCCTCTGCTCCGAGCAGGCTGTGACCCCGAGACCTTGGTACCTGAACCCTCCAAGCACTTGCCAAAGATGTTCTCATAAATCCAGACTTGGCTGCTTGGACTGCTCCATCTCACTCCTGGGGACCCTGAGGTAGGTTCAGTGAGTTGTCACCAAGAACACTCCCAGTGGCACAGGGCTGCTTGCTGAGTGAAGGGACAAGAATACCTAACATGAGGAAAAGGGACCAGGCTGCTGGCCCAGTTGCTAATGATGTTTATTTTCTATGTGCACAAGAACTGGATGGCGATCTACACACCATGAGCAGCCTCTCTCCCTGGAGGAAGGATGCTTTATGTAAACCTGCAAGGAGGCCGAGTCCTGCTCACCTCTCCATTCCATACCCTCCATCTGCTGCTCTGTGCTCCACAGAATCACGTCTGACCCCACAGCACTGACCATCTTTTATTTCAAAAATTTTTTAAAAATAATTTTAATTGATTTTAGAAAGAATGGGGTTGGGGGAGAGAAACATTGATTGGTTGCCTCCCATACTCCCAACCAGGGATCAAACCTGCAACCCAGGTATGTACCCCAAACCCACAACCCTCTGGTGCATAGGTCAATGCTCCAACCGAGCCACCCGACTAGGGCAGCACGGCCCATCTTGATGAAGAACCCAGTGCAGCTGCCTCATCTGACCCCGAGCAAGCAAACACCCACTCAAGCCCCCAGAGTTAGAGGATAGGCTGACCAGGCCTAGCCAAGCCACCCCTAGTGAAGGGTCAGCCTCATTGTCACCAGTGGATCTTCCCACTGGACTTCGGGCCTCTCCAAAGACTCCTCAGCCCCATGTATATCATTGGCGTCCAATCAATGTTGCTGAGCATGAGTAGGAATGTGTAACTTATGGGCCACAGAAAAGTTAAAGTGGTGTGTTCTCAGGGACCCCTGGGCCAAGGGAGGTTGGCACTCAGGTGTGTCCAGCTGGAAGGCACACAGGACCAGGCAGTAAAAACAAGGGGCTCTCACCAGACTGGTGTGGCTCAATGGTTGGGCGTCAATCCATGAATCAAGAGGTTGCTGGTTGGATGCCAGATGAGGGCATATACCTGGGTTGTGGGCTGGATGCCCAGCAGGGGGACATGCAGGAGGCAGCCAATAGATGATATTTCTCTCGCATCACTGTTTCTATCTCTCCCTTCCTCTCTCTCTCAAAATCAATAGAAACACTTTTAAAAGATTCTAATAAAATAAAAAACAAGGGGCTCTGTGAATTTACTTCCTGGCCCATTCCACTCAGCAGTGTGCATGTGGCACCCTCTGGTGGCGGCCAGAGGGTAGGGCCGGGCAGGGACAGTCCCCAATAACCAGGCTTGGGATTTCTGGCATGGAGCAACTTTGGTTCCTTTCTGTGAAATAAGGGGTGGCTTTCTCCAGGCTGTGGGGTGCAGGATAAAGAGGGTGAACCCCCTATACTCCCCCCCAAAGCTTGGGGAAATCAGACTGGTAGCTGACGGCTGTGTGGCCTTAGAGGCCTCAGTGAAGTGCCCGGTGGGCACAGCCTGTTGTTTCAGCTTCGTGGCAGTTATGCCGCACCTTTTCCCAACACCGGAAAAAGCTTGCTTCTCTGGAGATCCCCGAAGAGCTGGTCCAATGCTCCCCACGACCCTCTCACGGACCTGCTTACAGTCTGAGGCGTGTCTAGGAGGAGGAGTTCCCTAGGTGTAGCAATGGGTTTACCCTGGACAAGCTCTTTCCCCTCTCTTGAACTCAGTTTCCCCCCTGTACCAGGTGGGAGGCCCAGATGGTACCTGCTAGTCCAGGGTTCAGTGAGGCCCTCTCTCCTGTGACCTCCTGCTCCACCAGAATGCTCCCTGGCCCTTCAACCTGTCCACACCTCCCCACCTGTCGGGGTGCAGTCGGGATGAGCAGGCACCCCCTTCTTGCTTTCTAGGCCCCAGCTCTCCTCAGCTGGAACAGTCCCAAGAGGCCAGGCTCCAGGTGCTCCCACTTGCACCTTCCCCTACACAGCTCTTGAGTCCTGGCTGCCCTGGCCACACAGGACGGCTGGGTAGAGGCTGCCGATCCCTTACTGGGCAGCCAGTGGGAAGGATCCCAGGCATTGTCCAGGGCCTCAAAAACCTGACCACTCATCCCATTCAGACCTGGTACAGGGCCCCCCATGGTCCTGTGGCCTGCCCACCCCTTCTTTTACCCTTTATCCTAGGAACAAAGCTCCCAACCCAAGTGCTCCGCTTCATTCCTATCCTGCCCTGGCCCTTGCGTGCACTGCAACCTCTGGGCCTCAGTACAGCTTAGCGCTTGCCCTACGAACTCTCCTGGTAAGATTCAGGACGGGCACAAACAGGAGCCAGGAGAGTGAGAGGTGGGTCAGCCTTTATTGGTGAGCAGGCAGGTGGGGTTGGGGGCTCCCATGTAAGTCAGGATGCTGTGAAGGAAGAAGCCTCAGGCTCCACTGGGGAGGGGGTTTCTTCAGTCACCATGAGCACAGATGCGAATGGGGCTGTTACAGCAACTCCCACCCCATGATGGTCATCCAGACCCTCCTCCCCAGCGTGGGGAGGGCAGGGGCAGTGAGGGGGATACTCTGAGGGGTGGCCATGAAGTCAGGCTGGACTGGGTCACATAGACCTGCGGTGATGTGACAGGACTTGCTTCAGGCAGGCAGGACGCCAGGCATTGTGACCTGTGACCTCCTGAAAAGGACAGTGAAGCAGCAGAAAGCAACCTCAGGAGGTGAGCTGTGGAAGGAGTCGTCTCAGGGAAAAGCCAGTCTGTCATCCACAGCCCCCCAGCATGATGGACTAGAGGCTAAATTAAATGCCCAGGGGACACCAAGGGTATGGTTTGGGGGTGCAAGGAAGGAACATGGAGGGGACAGGCAGGGGACAGCAGGGGCTCCCCACAGAACCTCGAAGCTCCCCTGGAGTGCTCTTAAAAATAAAAAAGCAAAACCCCTAAGGAATGGAATTCTACATAGAGAAAACCCTAGCTTAGTTTCTTTTAAAAGAGAAAACATGTGATTTGAATCAACAGTGTGGTCTACTTTGCAGGGTAGGTTTCCTTTAAGAGGAGAGGACTTGGAATGGTGCGAACACCAGGAACACCTGGAACACCAGGCTCCTCTGGACAGCAGCTCAGGCCTGTGCAGACTCCTCCTCACTGCCTGCAGGAAGGAAGGGGCACTCAGACGCCAGCTCTGCCAGGGCAGGAGCCCCCACTCCCACCCTGTCACGCTCCTCACCTCACTCACTTGCTCACTCAGTTGGCGTTCCTCTGGCGGACGTTCTTGTCTTTGTCATTCATGTGCCCGCTGCTCTTCCTGGGGACAGGAGGGGGCTTTTCAGTGCTCAGGAGGACAAGACAGCTGCCCTCCACCCCCAGTCACAGAGGGAGGGGCATCCAGGTCAGCAGCTCCTCCAATCCTGCCCACACCGCCACCCCATCCCCCCACGCTCAGCGAGGCCAGGACTTACAGTGGAGCAGAGCCCGTGTCCTCATCTGTGCAGACGCGCAGCCAAGCCATGTGCAAGAGAAGAACAGGTGTCAGAGGTGGTTCCTGTGCTGCAGGGACTGGTCATGTGGGGAGGCAGTCCCATCCCTGGGACATGGACCCTCAAAATGAGCTATGGGGTCAGCCCAAGGGCCTCTAGGAGCCCTGCCTGCTCTCCTTGTCCACCTGCAGGTAGGCATGCAGGTGCCCTCACCTGGTCAGGCGGCTCAGGTTTCCTGAGCTTCATCAGGTAGTCAAGGGCTTGCTTGGCCCTGGCCCTTGGACCCAAGCAGCTGATGTGAGGGGAGGCTGAGCAACTGAGGGCAGATGCTCACAAGAGGACACCTGCCAGCAGCCAAGTGAGGCTGTGGGGGCAAGCAGATCCCAGCCTCAGAAGGTGGGGCAGGAGGCCCTTGCTGGGTAGCTCAGTTGGTTAGAGCACTGTCCGATATGCCAAGGTTGCAGGTTCAATCCCCAGTCAGGTCACATACAAGAATGAACCAATCAATGCATAAATAAGCGGAACAACAAATTGATGTTTCTCTCTCTAAAATAAATAAATAAAAATTTTAAAAATAAAAAAGGTGGAGCACCTCCTGAGGAGAAGCCTGGGGACCTGACCTGACCTGTAAAAGGGGGCTGTCCCAACCCCAAAGTGCCCTCCACTATACTGCATTCCAGGACGGTGTTCAGGTCCCCGACAGGTGGGGAGCAGAGGGCATGGGGCAAGCTCACCATCCAGGACCTCGTCCGGCTTCCGCCGCTTCTCATAGATGAAGATGATGGTGACAAGCACGAGCACCTCAGCCACGATACCCAGAAAGGGCCAGAGGGCAGCGAGGCGGTTGCGCACACGCAGCGTGATGACGGCCTGGTCAGTGCCCTCTGCATTGGTGCCATTGCAGGCATACTTGCCAGGGTCTGCCTCCAGGTCTAGGTTCTGGATGTGCAACTCCGTCTTGGTCTCCGAAGACATCACAACCTTGTTTTGGGACGCGTTGCTGAAAATCTGGGGACAGGCAGACCTTGTAGTAGGGCGGAGGCCCAGGCCTTTGCCCCACCCCAGGCAGGTGCAGCCCTCACCTGGACCCCATCATCATTTATCTTGTACCACAACCAGTCGGTAACCGGGGGGAAAGACTCAGACTTGCAGGCCAGCACAACTGTCTCTCCTTCAGTGGCATGCTCTGACTTCTTCACAGCCTTAATCTTGGGGGGCCCTGGTGGGGAGCAGAGCACAGTGGAGCCTGAGTCCCACGGCCTGGAGGAGCCAACCCCCCTTCAGTGTGCGGGCTCCCCTCACCCCAGGGATGGATGAGCCTGCCCCTTCCTCCGTGCTCTGGGGGCCATAAAGCTGCTCACCCTTCACATTCACTCACCCTCCACATTCAAGCGGGCGGTTCTGCCTGTAGGTTCCGAGGAGAGGAAGGTGCAGAAGTACTGTCCTGCGCTCTCGTGTGTGTCTACCCTGCAAGCAGACGCAGTCGTGAGTTGACCCTCTACCGGTGACTCTGTGGGGCCAGAGCAAGCCTTGAAGGTCATGATCAGGAGATCCTGCAGGAGGGCACATACTGTCCATGTCCCATCAAGAAGGGAGAAGGTGATTTTGGGGATGGCAGATGGGTCTGGCCCCACTCCTGACCCGGCACCCGAACCAATGAGCTTCTGTACCATGACCCTAGAAGCCCATAAACCACAGAGCTCTGTGTTTCCAGAGCTGGCTTGGGCTCAGTTAAGACAAGGCTTCAGCTTGGGCAGCCTTGAGTGCCCAAGACCTTAATAAATTGGGAACACAGGGATTCCAGGCTGAGGGGGACTCATGTAGTGCCTCCTCCCCTTCAGCGCCTGGAAGAAAAAGAAAGGGTCATGGAGGCCGTGATGTCCCTCCCTGGTTCCTGAGCTTTTCACAACTGAGGGATATGAACAGAGCTTGTACCTAACGTCTGTCCAAAGTGAGCCCACGGATCACAGTCTTCATTCCTGCTGACCACATGGCTGTTATCAGTGAGAATACATCAGAGCAAACAGGGCAACAGGGGGCCCAGGGTGAAACCAGCTCCCTGAAATGAGGCCCACCCCTCTCCTGCTAGGCCCAGCGGGACATGGGGTTTGGGTGCTTCCATGGGCCTCACGCACTCATACTGCGTTGTCAGATCGGGCTCCGAGTCCTCCTGCAGCACCTTGTCCCCTTTCGTCCAGCGGTGTCCCAGGATGGCAGTGTCACTGGAATCCAAGGTGCAGGTGAGGCGTGTTTTGGAGTCAACAATAAGTTTGGAAGTCGTGATATTGCTCCCTGTGTGGCCAAACGAGAGATCAGCCAAGGGATCAGAGGGGGACAAAGCCTGTGACCCCCACAGCCACCTGCCAACTTGTCCCACAACTAATCCAGTGTGGCTCCTCCACACAGTCACAGCAACCTCCTGGCAGGGAAGCCACAGCCTTGTTAACAAGTCTCGAATCGCATTGGCATGTTCAGGAAGGAAACCTCCTACAGAATTAATGGACTTTGGGTGTGATGGGCTACTGGGCAGGATGCAGGGCTCAAGGCAGGTTTTGTCGAGGAGACATGGATCGCAGGTGTGGGAACAGAGACCAACACCCACCCAGGGTCCCAACTCGTGGGTCCAGCCCAGCACAGATCCTAATTTCCTTGAAGGTCAAGAGTTCCCACAGCCCACTCACAACCGCCACAAAATCACTGCACAGGAGACACTATGTTGTCCTGCCCAGGACACTGAGGGTGGACTCAATCAGTAAAGGCCCTTCAACTCGATTTCCAATTAGGCAAATCTTCCCGTTAGTTTCAGATGGTCTCTTGAAGAATCGAAATGTGAAAATCACTAGGAACCAGAAGGTGAGAAGCACAAGAGACTAGAGGTGAGCTGGGAGAACTCCTCCTCGGGACCAGGGATGGGAGGGGAAACCCAGCCCTCCCAGTGTTCAGATAAAAAGCCAGGCAGGTGTTCCATGGACCAGAAGTTGAAGGTGAGGGAAATGGAGACCTCTGCTGAGGGCAGGGTCTGCCACCGCCGAGCCATGCCAGACGCTAACCACCACGGGTGGGGCAGTGAGCACACCCATGTCCACACCGGAGCCCTGTCCCTAGGTTGGGGCAGGTGCTGTGGGGACACCCCTGCCCAACCACCATGGGGTCCCAGGCACCACAGGGCTGTCCACACTGGCCTCCATTTGCCTTCTTTGGGATCGCTCCGAAGCAGAGCTTTACTCAGAAGTGTCTGTTTTTCCAGGATGGTCACCCACAGGCTAGAACCCTGGAGATGTCTTTGGTTGCCCCCCGCATGCACCCTGACTGGGGCCAGTGACTGAGTATGTGCCCTTGACCAGAATCGAACCCAAGACCCTTCAGTCCCCGGGCCAATGATCCAAACCGGCTAGGGCTTTTTTTTTTTTTTAATGGTTTAATTATTTTTAGTGAGAAAGGGAGAGGGAGAGGAGAATCATCGATGTGAGAGCAGAACATCTATCAGCTGTCTCCTGCACGCTCCCTACTGGGGATCAAGCCTTCAACCTGCACATTGACCCGGTAATCAAACCAGCAACCTTTTGATGCTTGGGATGACGCTTAAGGCAAGGCATCCCTTCTAAAAGCTATGCCCACAGGATTGAGCATAAACAGACCCAGCCATAACTGTTTGCAATGAGCTTCTTTTCCTTTTAGTTTGTGGGGAGAAGCCTGTGGTATAAAGTTAGGTGAAAAAGCAGAATACGAGACTATATTTGAACAACTTCTGTTCAGAGTCAACCATTCCAGAAAAGCAGCTACAAGAAACCCAGCAGTCAGTCTAGCAGCCATTCAGCAGGCCTGCCCCACCTGGACCCCTGCTTCCTCACATAGTGACTTTTTAGAGCAAAACTGTGAAATCACAGAACAAAACACATGAAATTGGGCAGAACTGCTAGAGGTAGTGACCCCTGTCTGAATGGTTATCTTAGCTGCCTGGAACTCAGCAACAGGATAAATTGATTCCTTGGGCAGCAAACCTCTGGCTCAGGCCTAATACTGCCAATCCAGAGGAAATGACAGGAAAGGTATTCTGCATCCACTGGACACCAGGTTCTCACTATGTAAGCAAAGCTTGCTCAGCCTCACCCATCCACAGAGAGACCGGGTTGGTCATTAAGAAAATTAAACCTCAAGCCAGTGTTCTCAGTGGTTAGAGCAGCAGTTCTCAACCTGTGGGTCGCGACCCCTTTGGCGGTCGAACGACTCTTTCACAGGGGTCGCCTAAGACCATCCTGCATATCAGATATTTACATTACGATTCATAACAGTAGTAACATTACAGTTATGAAGTAGCAACGAAAATAATTTTATGGTTGGGTCACAACATGAGGAACTGTATTTAAAGGGCCAGAAGGTTGAGAACCACTGGGTTAGAGCATCAGCCTGGGCACCAAAGGGTCACAGGTTCAATTACCAACCCCAATTGGGGCATGTGTGGGAGGCAACCAATCGATGTGTCTTTCTTACATTGATGTTTCTCTCTCTTCCCTTCTCTCTAAAATCAATGGAAAAAATATCCCCGGATGATTAACAAAAGAAAATTAAACCTCAAAACCCAAAGGGCAGCAGGAAAACTTTATTCAAGAGACATCACAGCTGGATCTGGCACGATCCATGGGCAGCTGAGATCAGCATGCCCTGAGGGTGCAGTCCTACCCCCAAACCTGCACTGGGTCCCAGGGCAATAGCTAGGGGCCTGGCACTATGTCCTCAGTGGGCTATTGGCACCCCCACCCTGTCCCACTGCAAACCTGACACATGCAGACCCAGCTGCCCAGCTGTGTTTCTAGTCTGGGAGGATGGTGGCCTGCCTGTGAACAGGACACATGCACAGCCAGGCAGGGCCTCTTCCTGAGCAGACCAGTCCTCCTGACCCACCACTGGCCACCTGCTGGCTCTTTCTTTAAAAAAGGACAGGATGACTCAGAATTCCAGGCAAGCAGGAGATGAAGCAAAAAGTTCAACAGCCAGCCCTAGCTGGTTTGGCTCAGTGGATAGAGCGTCCACCTGGGAACTGAAGGGTCCCAGGTTTGATACCAATCAAGGGCACATGCCCAGGTTGCAGGCTTGATAGCAGATCGATGATTCTCTCTCATCGTTGATGTTTCTATCTCCCTTTCTCTTCCTCTCTGAAATCAATAAAAATATATTAAAAAAAAAAAAAAAAGTTCAACAGCCAGACAGAAAATAGAAGGAGGCCTCTGGGGCTGGGGCACCCATCTGATCCCAGGCCATGTACATACATGCACCACTACATGTGTGCATATGTGGGTGATAGGGGCAGGCACACACATATGTATGTGTACCCGCATACATATGTGTGTGCATACATGCACACGGCTCCCTTGCTGCGTGTAGGAGAGCACAGACTGCTGGCCAGGAGGTCTTGGGGCCTCAGGCTGTCTGTTCTGGGGCAAGGTGGCCCCAAAGCCCCAGGAACAAGTGGACCTTCAGGTCTCCCCACCTGCGGTGGCCCGAGGGCACCTCATAGGACTCAGGACAGGCACAGTTACAACCAGACAGGGGTGTGAAGCTAGAAGCTCCACTGCCTGATCTGGAAGCCTCCTGGTAATCCACACTTCTCAGGAATCAAAATTTCCAAGATTGCATAATAAGCAGCTACATAAAAAGCTGGGAGCAGTCAGGGTAGGAAGTGAGGCCAAGGCAGCCCTACTCCGACAGGCCTGCCTCTCTCTACTCTAGAGCCTGGGACCCCCATCTGTGCTCTCATTCCCTCACCTGGGAGCTGCTAGAAAGGAGGTCAGTCAGATCTTGTCCCAGCTGCACCTGCCTCCCTGTGGGAGAATGAGGTGGCTCAAAAGTGAGCCTAAAGCCCCTTAGGCAGACACCCCTGCTCCAGCCTGAGGGCCACATACAGCAGGGGACCAAGGCTCCACCTGGGCCACCTGCCAGCCTTCCCACCATGGAATCTCCTATGAGCTGGCCACCATGACACCACATCTCTCTCGTGCTCCTCAATAGGGCCACATCACTCCCAGGGGGAAGCGGGGTGTCTTAGGCATTACAATGATTGTGGCCCTACCCAGGGTCACCACACACAGAGACCTGCTGCTGTAAGTGATGTTAAAATCTGTGATATTAAAATATCACTGGGACAGGGCCATTAGGAAAAATAGTCTCAAAAGGCTCCTGGGCCGGGGTGGGGGTGGGGGGTGGAGGGGATTGAGCAATGTTGGAGAAAGGTTGAAAAGCAAATCCTCTGGCAACCCCTGACCAAACCCAGTGCCCAGGTGACTTGGGGGAAGCACCCCTAGAATTCAGAGGGAGAAGAGGCAGGAGCCTCCACCCTTAGGACACTACACTAGGAGACAGGGAGAGAAAAGTGAAAACTCCATTCTGTGATTCTGGCCCCGTGACTGTAACCCACGTTCTCAAGTGAAGTCACCTTCATCTAAAAACAGCTACCCCTCCTCCGTGCCCACTCGGCAGCCAGGCCGGGGCGTGGGGCCAGGCAGGCCTCGTGGTAAACAGCCAAGGAACTTGCAGGATGAGACAGAAGGCACCCGCCCTCTCCCCACCCATGGCCTCACTGCAGGGCTCAGATAGGAGCCAAGAATGTTTCAGGGAAACCAGCCGTGGCTGCTCACCTCTCCCTCCATCCCATCAGGAAGCAGCTCCTGCTCCCTTCACCTGAGGCTCAGAGAGGCCAAGTCATCAGCTGGAAAGCCTGTGCCCTCCCAACCTTTCTGGCCAACACACCAGGATTCTGGGTAATCTCAGGGAGAGCCAGGGTCTTCTGGCAGGAGAATCGACCCAGGGCCTCAGGCGACAGGGTGCTGATTGCTGATGCTCAGGTCAAGGAACCTGTTCCTGGCAGGGCCCCCAAAGCATCTCTGGGGCGCTGACCTGGCCAGGAGAGGCAAACACTGTCACTAAGTCACTTCTAGGCAGAAAAAGGACATGTGGTGATGTCCTCAGAAAGACTTTCAGATCTTTCCAAGATACCCTGGGAAAAGAGGAGCTGTCCAAAGTGAAAGAGAACAAAACAGAGAGGAGTCCCCGGGAGTCAGACTCAGGCAAGTGTGCAAGACCAGCTCCAAAGATGCAAAATGGCACAGATCCTCTTGGCTTCCTGGCTGGGGCTCAGAAGCACCCAGTGCTTCTGCTCTAAGGAGAGAGGTACAAACTCAGGAACTGTGCTCCCAGCAGAGGGAGACCACAGGGGCTTCCACCCACTGGCCGTCCGCAGCCGTCGAGGGCTCTATCTCCAAAGGGCTCAAGCTGCCAAATGCAGCTGTGTAGCCTCCTAATTCACTTGTCTACAGGTTCTGAGTCCTTCCAGAGAGGGCTGGCAGGAAGCCAGGCCCTTACCCAGAAGCATTCAATACATGGCTGTTTTGATGATAATGAAGACAAAAGAGGCGAACTGAGATCATAAAACATATCAGGAACAACCCAGTGAAGCTTCCACTAGAGGCAATCCCTCTGGGCTCCTGCCCAAGACAGTTGACCAGCCAGCCTCTCAGAGCCCGACAGGTCCTGCCTCCCCAGAAGAGCCCCAGACCATTCTGGTCTGCACTTTGTTCCCTCCATTCTGGTCACTATAAATCTTTAACCCAGAACCAAATGGGAAGTCTTCATGTTGGGACGGGACGTCTCTCTCAGGCCTTCCCCTGGAAAACGATACCTCCGTCCATTTCTCACGAGCATTCAAACCACATCTGTCCACCCCCAAGAAGAGCTCTAAAATGTAGTGCCTGTTGATAGTCGGCAAAAACTCTCTCCACTTCCTGCTCTTTACCAGTGGCCAGGGCGACCTTAGGGTGACCTTGGAACATCCCCCCTTCCTCCCGGCCCACTCCACCCCTGTAAAAGGAGAGGGGTGTGGACTAGACCTTTTATCTGTGCCGAGAAATCAGAAAAACAGGCAGCAGAGCCTGCTGGCTCTCTACCAGGGTTTAAACTCAAATGTTTGTGCGGATACCAGGGGCAGGGGCATAGCCCGAGCAAGACTCAGACCTAAATCCCGGCAAGAATGACAATCCCTGCCGACTCCAGAGCCGCCTGCCTCAGGGACACTCACACGCATGTGCTTCCAGCGTCCACTTAAGAACAACAGCCTGCTGCCCAGATGCGAGCCAAGGGTCCGGGGAGTCCAGGGGGCCCTCCGCCGCCGCACCCCTCGCCCCAGCCCACCCTCAAGCTACCTCCCCAGGCTCCTGGGCTCCCGTTCAAAGGAGACCCTGCAAGACCCAGCCGCAGGGTCCCTCTCCCGCAGGGAGAGGATGGGAGGCCGCCTCCTGAATCCCTCCCAACGGGCCAGGCCCCTCCCGGACCCCGTCCCTCCCCCAGGCGGTCGGAAATCTAGGACTTCACCTCCAGGGATCTCCCTTGTCGGATCTCAGGCCCCTAAGGCAAGGTCTCCCCACACACTACCTCGGCGGGGAGTCCCGTGGGTGCCTCCGAACACCTGGGTGCCTCCGAACACCTGGGCGCCTCCTGACCCCGGGCACTCCCG